TTCTTGAATGTAGTAACAATTTATTAGTGTCTACATGCGATGCTCAAGTGATAATGCTAACTTAACAAAGTTATTAATCCGTTATCCTTAATTATTTCGCAAGAACAGCAGTTTTGAACTATCCATTTCTTAAAACTTATCTTACTTATGTTTTTTGTATTCATTTTTTCCCCAAAAACTCGAAAGTCCTGCTACCGGATGATGGTATCCTCTTAGTATTAATACATCAGTGGCATTACATCAGTAATTGGTTAACATCTGTTGGACAAGATTTTGATTGTGGGGGCGATTATGTCCTCATATGTGGATAGATTTAACAGATATCTTTATAGTATTGCTGATATCGTATACAAATTTTCCATGCTCCAACCATCCATACGCAAGTAATCATATTGTCGGATGAAAATTATTTTAAAGATCCAAATAAGAGTTAAAATTGATTGTAAATAGAACAAAGTAATATTAATTATTTATTCTGATATATTTATCAAAACTATTTCTATCGCGTACTCTACTCCATTCTTGGTATAGAGGATAGTTAAGCATTCACCACGTAATTTTCGTTTTAAAATAAGCTGTAGTACAATTGATATTTTTCATTCCTTGGAATATAAACATTATATGCTTAATTTCATTATGTAAATGTATGAAAGAATTTTTTTCATTCATTGCTTAATTTGTATCGTCATCAACTAATAAAATTTTCGAGATCATATTATATTTATATATCGAAACTTTCTGCTCTATTCATATGCGATATTATTCCATATTAAGAGTATCAGTTTTATGGTAATTTTCACTGTAAGCTTCAAAATTTTTTCATTATTTATGACATTGTTTTCGTTTTTTTTGATCTCCATTATACAAAAATAGATATTTCAGTATAAACAAAAACAAATCTAGACTTCCATCCTTATCGTTTCAATCGTTCCTTATCGTTCGTGTTTCCGATCATCTCATTTATCTGTAAAATGAACAATTTTTAAAAGTTGTTCTCAAAAAAATAAGATTAAATCATACTTACACTTACAGTTCATGTTATTGATCTATTGATTGGATAGTTAAGCCCAAAAATATACATTCTCCTATGAAATCACCAATCACCGTATACCGAGATATGAGATTCACTGAAATTCCAAAGAGATCATACGTTTAGTCTTCCCATCTTTAAAGGTATGAAGATATGAAATTATTATTAAATCATAGAAACCAAAGGATGGCCTAAACCTTAGAGAAGAGGAAAATCTGTATTTGAATCTCAAATTAGTTCAACTTAGAATTCATAACAATTTTGTTCATTTTTTTTTTACTTTATTTTTTAAATATACAAGATTACAATCAATAATAAAAACAATTACTAAAAATTATAAATTATCGTTCGTTTAATTTTATTCGCTTCCTCACATTTGTAAATATCTGGTTATGTTTATTTTTATAAATTTAAAAAAATTTTAAAATGATTACATTATTACATTTAAAGAGTTAAAAATATTTTGCCTGCTTACACATTGCATTATTTTTTAAAGTGTATATTAATTTTTACGAGTAACTTGTGATATATCTAGTGTAATATTGAAAACATTTACTATCGTTTTAAAATTAAGTCAATATTAGAATTATAATTTATATTTTAGTAACTGCAGAAATAGCATTATTTTCTATAAATTTTAATTGAAAACACTTTTTCAAAAATTAGTAAAACGAAATGTTAAAAAAATATAAAAACTTTTATAAACAAATTTATTTATAATGACAATGAAAAATTCTAAGACGTAGTAATTTTAAATGTATAATAAAAAAATATTTTGATAGAATATACATAAAAAAATTTGTTATACAAACATAATTTTGTTCATAAAAATAAAAAATTATGTAAAACAAAATTTAAAAAGAATATAAAAATATTAAATATTAAATTAGTATAAAAAAAAAATATTATATAATTATAAAAAATATTAGATTAATTTAAAAATAATTGAATTAATATAAAAAATAAATAAATGAATAAACAAAAAAAAATAAATTAATGAAAAGAAAATTAAATTAATTTAAAAAAAATTTAATAAGTTTAAAAAAAATTAAATTAATATAAACAAAATTTAATTTGTGTAAATAATTAAAATAAAATTACATGTAAAATCAAAACTTATTTCATCTAAATTCTTTCTATGTATATTTTATTAAATATTTTAAATTTTAATTAAAATTTTCCAATTGTTTAAATAAAGTGAATATAATTACATACAATAAACTTATTTCGCTACGCCTTAGAATTTAAATTTTAAAATCAAATTAATAATATTAATTAATATTCACAATTGGCACAATTCGGAATTGAAGTAAAAAACATTTTAAAATATTTTAAATAAAATTAATTAAAAATTGAGTGGTAAAACATATACATATTTCAACATAATAAAATATTAATGACAATAGAAAAACTTAAAGCTTACATTTATTATCTGACAATTTTATTAACATTACAAAATTAATTAAATATCATATATGACTGTCTGGTTTATTTACGTGCTATATTTTTATTAATTTTTTTTTAAATATTATTTAACTTGACTTAAAATTTTATTATTTTAACTACTGCCGACAATATCTTTAAAAATATCGAGTAAAAAAATAACAATTTATTTAATGAACTGAAAATTCTTTTTTATTTATTTTATATATAAGAAAAAAAATTTTTTTTATATGCATGTTATACTAAAGACATAATTTTTATTTTTGTATTTTACAATTATTTTTATTTGCTTAATTTTTTTTAATTACTTCACAACAACAGAGTATTTCACAAAAATAAATAATAAAATAAACAATAAAATGAACTAAATTTATATTTCTAGTTTCAAAACCTTCAATATTTATATTTTAATATAACATAATTTTTATACTGTAAAAAAAATATTCAATATGTTATTTGGTTTCATTATATTACAAATAGTATATTTTCATAAAAACACATTTTATGTTTATATATCTCATACGCTATAGTAAAACTAAACAAATTTTTTTAATAAAAATGCTTACATAACGAAATAAAAAAAAGAAACATAAAATAAAACATATATAAAATAAAGATAATATTAAATAAAATTAAAGTAATATAAAATAAAATAAAACTAATTAAAATTAAAATAAATATAAAAATACTTTAAATAAAAAAAAATACTATTAAAAATAAAAAATACTAAAAAATAAAATTAAAATATATACACAACCTAATATGCTAAATTTAAAAACACAAGCAAATACATAAATAAATAAAAAATATAAATTTTAGTGAAGTTTGAAAAAATTAAAAAAAAATTTTTTAAGTAAATTAAAAAATAAAAGTAAACTATAAAATAAAATAAAAATCTAATAAGCAAAAAATTAGTAGAAAAACGTAACAATTATTTAAAAAAAGTAAATTATATAAAAAAAGCAAATGAGATATATAAAATAAAGTCAATATGATCATACTTAATGACATTTAGTTACGACAGTTATAACATTAGGTGAGCTATTATAAGTTTAACTAATTTTAATATGTTTTTTAAAAGGTTGGGTTAAAACGGCGATGGATCTAAACTGGATCCATTTAGGCCTATTGACTCATTCTGCTACCGTATAAAGAAAGGACTCGAGATTTAAAAGTACGTGTAACATTTGACGAAGCTTAAAATGCTGTTTAGTGGAAAGTCTTGTATTTGATCATGATCCTTAAAGAAAGGGGTCCCTAAAGTATTGAGTTGCCGCCATGCATGAGCTGGGCAAAGATAGAGTCCAACTTTCTTCGTCTTTCTCACAGCTGCAACAGTTATAATTGAAGAGAAGATTCAATCTTCTAGCATTGTTGCCTTATCTGCACTGACTTGTAAGTAGACCTATCATAAGACTGATATCTCTACGAGACATTTCAATGAGATTATTGGATTTCCTTTTAGTGAAACGTGGTAAAATTGCATACAGATGCCTTCATATCGTCTTCCCATCTTATATTAAAAAGTTCATCACAGAAAGAACTCAGTAACAATTTACATGATGTTAGCGATATGCCCAGATCGTTTAGGTGTTACGAGTGGAGTCCTGAAACATCCTTCTGTCTAGCTTGTCTGCTTCACAATTGCCGAAAATGTCCCTATGATCGGGAACCCAGATAAGAGAAATTTTGAACTGCGTTGTTCAGTATTTTTTAATGTAATAGAAATTATAAATCTTCGGTTTTTTCCTTTCTACAAATGCTATACAATGTGTTGTACTTTTAAGATTTTATTAATACATTTTTTTAATATTTATTTAAGGTCTCTGAACTGTGAAATAACTGTGAAATTAACCAAGTCCACAAATCAATGAAAAAAAAAAGACTGACTTAAATATTTGGTACTGGATCTTGATAATATTGAATTAAACCACTAGTGCAGACGTTAGATTAAAACACTAGTTCAGTATATCGAATCACTAACCAATTAATTACTTAAGAGATTTCAATAGTTTTGTTGTAAGAGTTCCTCGCGGAATCGTAATTTTTTTTTGTTTTTAAATATATTAACTGTACTCTAGAGCAATAGCAGTGTCTAATGTCACGGAGCGGTGACTGTGCGCGGACCGGCGAATGAGAAAATTATGCGTTTTTGTAGGCGAGATACGAGTACGTGGACATTAAAATATTTTAATAAATATAAATATATATATTAGATTTCACAATATATTTATGTATAATGTATTTGTATAATTTGTATAACTGAAAAAATTTTAACAGAAAAGTGCATACAATAAAACATAGATTTTTATGCGAGATATAATATATAAAATAATGTATATAACATATTTAATATTTTTCATAGTTATATATATCTTTATACATATTTATTACTAAATCGAAAAGTCGAATATAACTATTAATATAAATGAAAGCAGCTCGGTATCTTCGTAAAATAGTTTATTACTTACTAATGTCAATTAAGATTGGAAGCAATTTAAATTTCTTGTCGGAAATAGTTAAAATATTAAACAATGTCATAAAAATTATATTTGTTGTAATTATAGTATATACTGATGTCACGTGTATTTGAATTTTTATATTATTGTTGTTATTTTCTTTATGTTGCGAGATATATGTAGGCAAAAATATATAGAAGAAAATTTTATTTCGATTTAACCGAAAATCTTTTCGAAGCATGCATGACAATATGGTTTATCATTTTGTTCCTTGAAAGTTCCTTTGTTCAGTTGCTTGAGACAAAAAGCGCAAACAAAGTGCTCAGGATGGAATTTCTTGAACATAGCAGTAATGCAACGACCAGTAATTGGCTTGGAGCAACCAGCACATAGTGAACCACGTTTAGCATGATAATGTGTCTCACAGTATGGCAAGCCTTCATGATCAAAGAACGAACCACCTTGGAAGGGCTGCCGACAATCCTAAAAAATAAAATAAATAAAAAAAATTATTGATTGAAAAGGTTATAAACAATTATAAATTAGAAAGAAAAAAAATATGAAAAAGCCCAACTGCTCTTCTATAATTTAAAAATAAAATCTTTCTTTAATCCGAAATGTTTACATTTAAGAAACTTTTTTAAAAAATATTATAAAAATAACATTTAAAAAAATAGATAATATTAATATGAAATGTTAATATTAAATAAACATATTCAAAATATTTCTAAAATATGTCGCCTCATATCATTTTGAATAAATTACGTTGTTAAATATTTTTAAATACAAAATTTTAAATTATTTTTGCGAAAATTGGAAATTTTTCTAAAATACAAATTTATTTAAATCTGTCATATTTTTCATTTTAAGTTCAAATGCGAAAATTGTTGCCAAAATTTTTATTAAATATTTTCAAATCTTAGGTAATTAAAGCAATAAATTAGCATTCATTGGGCGTGTCAATACAATTTTGCAATGTAAACAATAATTTATAAAAACAAAATCTATAAAAAAGAATTTATCAAATAAATACTGGTCAGTGTGACTTAAAAGATTACCTAAAATATAATCTTCTGCTAAATAAAAGTATTTAATATCAATAAACTCATATAATTATACAAAATCGAACAAATTTTTTTATGGTAATAATTATCCAATATCGCGTTATCGAATCTCAGAATGGTTACAAGCTCCTCGGAGATGTATGCACATCTGAGGTCAATTATTGCTTAGTCTGATGAAGTGATAAACAATAATCCAGTCAAGGTGTAGAGAGAGGTTATGAAGAAAAGTACTCAAGTGCACTGACTCAACTAGACTCAACACAATAATAGATTTTAAGGTTTCAACAGGGTTTAGATTTTTAAATGAAAATACACACACATTTTTCTTGGCAATGACAGTGATGTTCGAAAGATTATGAAACTTTCATCTTTCCAGTGAAGAGTGTGGTCTTAGTAAGAGTGTTGTCATATATTATCTTTAAAATGCAATGAAGTTAAATACTTTCATACATATTCCTGTAACATCTTCTAGATATACTTATTTCGTAAAAATATATAATATTATTATTGTTAAGAGAAGTGACACTGCAATCGTTGGGTCTATTGTGCCTCTTTCTGAGTTTAGAGTAAATCTCTAAGCCCTGTTGTGCCAATAAAAAGTGTAATAGAAGCTATTTTACAGAGTTTTTTCGCTTTTTCCATAAAGGTATACATTCCCAGGAGTCTTCTCCATTTGTACATTAACGCAAGACATTCTAACAGCACATGTGTTGCTGACTACTCATTCACTTCACAGAATCTACAGTTTACATCCGTATATTAACCAAATATCGTAAAGTGGTATTTTGGTTTAAAGTGCATTGTTAGGATTCCTGTGATGACTCTAAGTTTTTCTTTTGTTAGGTCCATACAATGCTGATGTATCCTAAGTGATTTGGATTGTGTTAATTCTGGTATAATATACCAGTTATTCTTTTTGTTCTGGTTCTCCTTTATTTTTATGATTGAAAGAAGGGTAATATGTACTAATCCGCAGAAAGGTTTTGGCCCCATTATCGGTGTGGCTGCTGCTTTCCTGGGTAGTTTGTCTGCGTATTCTTTTTCGTACGCCAGTATATCCCAGCATCCAGAGAATCGACACCTGATTTAGTATTATTAATATTTTAATACCTAACAATAGTATTATAGATGGTTTTCTAAGGCGAAATTTGAGTTGATGATATGTAAATATGTTAAATATTTCTTCATTTTATTTAGGCTACTTTTTTATTTCATTATAATTGATAGATTCTAAAACTTATTGTTAGGTGTTAATTAAAAGCTATTAAATAAAAAAAAACTATAATTGACATAATTATTATCTGAGCTACAGTGGAATCATACGAAATAAAAAAATTTATTATGCCATCTGTGGATAGCAATACTATCCGACAATTTGGTACAATATTCTCTGATCTAAATATTGCTTGATTAGAACAACGTGAAAATATTAAACCCTCATGGCCCATGATAAAGAGTTTTGGGAGAAAAATTTGCAACCAACTAAAAATTATATCAAAGTGGAAACATATTACAAAATTAAAAAATCAATCATTTTAGTTCTATTTCTTATCTGAAGATATAAAAATATTAAATAACTTTATAAATTGTAGCTCTTTCCATTTATATTAATTCTAGAAATTGGTACGTGTCTTCCGTCAAGTTTACTGTTTGTTGCCAAAATGTTCAACTATAATGAAAACAATATTAAAAAAAAATACCAATAATAAAAATTACAACAAAAATTATACACAAGTTCCATATTTTTTTTTTTATTTGGCTTAAAATAAATTTATTTCAATAATTAATGAACTATTAAAAAAACAGTTTCTGATTTTACAGTGGAACAAAGTGGTAATACTTTCACTTTATAAATCTTTTCTTATTGAAGATTTCAGTACATTCTTTACATCGTAAAAAGGAGACCGTGAGTATTTTAATACCATTGATATACCGGTTGATTGAACACCAATCACCATATCATTTGTAAAAAATGTGATCATCAAAAGAAATAAATTAATACATTTATATTATGCAGGAGTTCCCTTACATCGGATTCTCAATCTTAGATTCTTTGGAACTTCCTCGTTATAAAAAATTGTACAGGTACAACGAATTTCATAAAGATTCTACAAAAATTATTGTGGTCACTGTAGATTGAATAGTCACCTAATAAAATTAGAAACTCAATCTAACTCAGACTGCAAATACTGTAGAGAAGAGAGAGAAACTGCATAAAATGTGCTTGGTGAGTGCTCGGGACATTGCACAAGCGAAAGAAACACCTAGGAGGATATTTCATGAATCATAAGGATTCAAGACTAGGAAAGATAGGCTCTCTACTGTCTTTTATTAAAAAATCAGACTTAGAAGAACACTCTAATCCGATTAAGGAGCACAATAGATATTTTAGATCGTATTGCATTACCCTTTCTAACAATAATAATATATACCAGACGAAATATTTATCTTATGATGCTGATGAAGAATTTTATTTTGGGGTTCTTTGATATATGTGTCTTCATATCTTTTAAATTATCTGGATGATAATCAAAATTTAAATAAAAATTTAAGAACAAATATTAAAATTTTATCAAACTCAACGTATTTTTTACCATAAGTTTTTACAAAAATAGTCTTAAATATTTGCAATAATTAAATATACACAAATATATAAATATTTATATTACTTTCCCAACATTATCTCATTTTTACGATTTATATTAATTTATATACAAAAAAAAAAATCATTTATAGTTTTTGTAAAATTTAATGATCCAATCAATTACAACTTTTATTTCTGTTGCTATCGTAAAAAATATAAACGTGGGAGTCCATTTATTTCCGGTGTTAATTATTAAAATCATAAAAATTTTATTAATAAACCATTATACTTCGTTTAGTATAGTTGGATAATCAAATACCAATAATTTGTACAATAAAAAAAATTTTTTTTTGAAATAAAATAATATATTTTTTTTGGAAAATATTTTATAGTTTAAAAAAACACTATAATAAAATGAAATCTCTCATAAGCAAACACTAAACTACAGTCAAATTTTCCTTTTAAAAAGAGATTTCCATCCAAAAGAGATTTCCATCCAAAAGAGTTGTTCCAAGTAATAAAATAAACCTGAATGTTCTATAGAAGTGTTCTTAAGGAAAGTTAATAAAATAAAATTAACTTAGTTGTGGCTATTCAATTGATACCGTCCACATATGTCGGTAATTATATATATTTAGCATAGTTTGTTTCTTACTTTATCGAGCATTTTACTATATTTATTAACTTGACCGGTATGATATATTCAAGTTGCTCATTGCTTCAAATAGAGCGCCTATTTTTATACTGTTATATGTCCATATGTATAGGAACTGAAAACTGGTTCAGTAAACCCACGTCTTACTTAATATCTATTAAGTACAATTCAGCAATAGCCATAAATTAACACGTAGTTAAGATTGTACTATTCATATCCAATAAAGGATGTTTAAAAACAAAAAAAAAAGTATGTCAATATACAATCTGTAAGCAGTAGATATGTGATCTTATCACTCCTATGTCTTATCTAGTATCTATCTCAAGTGAGCAATTGGTTTTCCTTTTTGAAATCCTACTTGATATTTTTTAATGATAGCTGCTACGTATGGTTTAAGTTTTTTTGATAGTAAACTATATTAAATATTACTTTATTTAAAATGTTTAAAGTAAAATAATTGTAATAAGTATATAGTATAAAGAAGTCCTTCAGTAAAAGAGATGGCGATATTAATAGTTAATATTGATATGCCTAGAAATGACAAAAAACACCACTATCGGCAAAGGTTTATTTTAAACATTTAAAACATTTGTGTGAATTGCATACAATTTTAAATAAAATCTAATTATTCGTATGTAGCAACGGGTAGTGCTGACTAAAAAATCATATTTACAAATGAATTTATCACCAAAAAGATCCAAAGCAATCGGTAATAAGCACACTTTTGGCAACATGTCAACACCGTACACTTTGTGAAGATGATCGATTGGTAGTGGATGCACTGCTGCGTAAATGTCTGCGACATATGGGCTAAAGGTGGTGTAGTGGGTACCGGAAGAAGATCTATTTGATATAATACAAAAAGTAATATGTTTGTATTTTTTCTTCTCGAAACGTAAAAAATTAAATATAGAACAATTGTTTAATAATTTATTAATAATGAGGGCTGATAATGAATACTGAGAGGCCATGTAGTCATTAATTATTACTGACAGATGAAAAAAGGAAAACAATTGAGTACATTTAAAATTTAATTTTTATTAAATTTATTTTAAAATTTGATTGAAACGAAAATATATTTACGTATTAATTTTTTTTTGTTTCTAAATAAAAATATTAGTTTGTTTTCCTTATTAGGAAGTACGAATTTTTTTTAAACTAGTTTTTTTTTTTTGAAAATATGAAACCAATCCAAAAAAAAAAATATTAAATAAAATTTTATACCACAGTGATAATTCTATTATAAATAACTTGAAATAGAATAAAGTTATTTTTTCAAGATTATTAGAAAAAATATGATAGAAGTTTTACTTAAAACAATTTCAGAGATATTTCTACCATATAGTACTAATAGTACACTTTCAAAATATACGGTGTATCAGAAAATTGCGAAAATAAAGTCTTAGCCTATTCACACGACACGAGTTAATCTTCATTATCTGCTAAATTAGTTTAAGTTATTGATATTGTGTTTGTTGTTTTCAATTATGAAAGAATTTTTCGTTTAACTTATCTATAAATCTTAGCGAACATAGTGTTGAGAAAAATAGTAGCACCATAGTATATCGGAAGTAATAATATTATAATGATCTAAAAGTTAAAATGTTAAATTTGTTTGCAGGAATAGATGACTACGGATTAAACTCTGTATACACATAAGAATCGATTTTAAATTAGAATATAAAGAGGTTATGCGGAGATCCGGAAAATCTCATAATATAAAATTAATAATGCTAAATATATATTAAAATAATATAACAGATATCTATTAGTGTTTATTTACCAAAGTTTGGTAACCAAACACAATCATGAGTGAAAGTACCAATTTGCCACTAAATATAATACTGCACAAGAGATTAGCACTTTTAAAATTTGTGTTGCCACTTTTATTTAATATAACTTTACAAGGTTGACAAGGTCCATTAGACGCAAAAGCATCTATCCACAGTATCCATTAGATGCGAGTGCCGATCTATCCACAGTTCAGCATTTTAATTAATTTTTATCGTATAAATGACTGCAAATGTCTGTGGATTGGAATAATCGCGCATAATTTATCTGGATCAGTGGTAATCTTTCTTACCGACTGCTGAATCGTCAGACAAATTAGTTACAGTGTATGTATTTGCATATGTAAAAATTAGGAAATAATTATAACTTTTGATTGAGTTGTAGAATAAAATCCGCAACAGATGGATAGGTAAATTCAATTAGAATTAATATTAATGATAGAGTTATACAACACTAATGCATAGAATTAAAAGATAGTAACCATGTTAATGGAATGGGGTGGTTGGTTAAGATGTTGGTCACATATCTAAGCAGTACATAGGCGTACTTTTCAGGTTAGATTACCAAGAATTTAATTTATAATATAACTTGTTGATAAATAAGATTATTGTTTATTAAATGTAGTAATTAAATGTAAAACTACTTCGAACACCTAAGAATTTCTTTCTCAAATAGGCTATTTAGTTAAAATTTAAACCTAAAAAAACTAAATAAATAAATTGCATATAATAAATAACATTGTAATGTTATATGTTTATATTTGATAATATTTTTCAGATATTATCAATATCAATACATTGTCAATATCAATATATTATCATTATCAATATATTATCAATGTATAATACGATGTCGTATTATACCTTATCAATAAAAAAATAGAAATTCTAATTTATACTTATACTTAACTAGTTTAATTTTAAATATTTTATATTTATATTAGTTATATGTACATTAAATATTATATTATATTGTAATGTGTATAAAGCATCAAATAGACTATACGCATTATTTCTAATATTTTATATCAGTTATAATAAATTGGTGATGATATGTAGATTATATATTATATTTAAAATTATATTTGATTTATATTTTATATACGGGTATATAACTTGTTTTATCAATATTCATTAATTTATATAATGCAATTTTTATATTTTTCATCATTGACCAAAATATTAGTTTATATTATTATCAATATTAGTTTATATTATTATTAATATTAGTTTATATTATTATATTGTAAATTACAGTTACATGTTGCAATATATGATGTCCTAATTGAACTGAAACCTACTTTAAACTGCTATAACTTTCGACCAGATGGCAACACTGCATACATGTTTGGTATAATAAATAATTTTATTTTTTACAAGTATACAGAAGTAAATATATACATATACATATACATATATATATATATATATATATATATATATATATATATATATATGGCAGTTTTTGAAAAATATTTTGTTTAAACAGAATATCGAATGTAATAGTGCGATAGCTACAAAAATTAATTGAGGTGTTTAACCCTTTACTACAAGAACCTTGAAAACATAGAGAAATCCAAACCTTTCGTAGTAAGGTGTCAACAATCAATCCTGTATATCTATGTACATGAGAGTAAGATGTTTCTAGAAGAAAAATAATTGATATTTACTTTCAGCAAAAAAGATCGAAATTCAATAATGGATTAAAGAAATTATACGAGATGTTTAACCCCCTGCCACAAAAACCTTGGAAATATAGGGAATTCCAATCCCTTCGTAGTAAGGTGTTAACAACTAAAGATTGCATATATGTAATCTAACTGGAATTAATCAAAATCCATCTAATAAGCTTTCTGACAAGTTCAAGGTCAAAATTGCAACACTAACCTCGATAAACAAACTCTAGCAAGCCTTTTACGTATCGAGTAGGAAGTAAGAGGCACGCACATGTTAAACTTGTCTGGGCTCATTAGAGAACACGTGATATTGTCGCCATCAATGGGTGCATGACAACAACAAATGAATTTACTAACGACAATTTTGCTAAACGTTGGTTAGCGAAATTGTCGCGAGTTAACCCAACACGTGTGCGTTTTTGAGTTTGTTTCTTTTTTGTGTTTTTTGTTGTGGTTTTTTTTTTGTTTTTTGTTTTTTTTTTTTAATTTAATTTTATTATTTTTTTTTTTAATTTAATATTTATTTTTTTATATACAAATAACAAATTACAATATTATTTTATTATTACAAAAGAGAAAGAAATACCTAAAACTTAGCCTAATTAAACAATTGGTTTTTGTTTGTTAGTTTTATTTTTTATATAAAGTGAGTGTGTGTTTGAGTGTGTGTGTGTGTTTTGCTGCTTTTAAGGGCTTCTTGTTTGGTATTGGTTTGTTTTTTGTTTGGGATATTTTGGGTCAGGGTATTTGTTAGCATATATAACGCAGACACACCAAAAAGGGCAAGGGCAAAAACAGGCCATAAAAGTTGAGCAGTTATTCCAAACGCATATACACGCAAATCACTTACAGTTTTTAGCCAATACATGCACACATGCACAGGAGAGGCCAACAACAACATTGCTGTCGACACAACTTCAAGTGCATGTCTGCAAGTGAAAGCCAAAATAACCGTGAAGTGTTTGTGTGTGTAGGTGTATTTTGACGACTGCTTAATGCTGCATAAAATCAGTTGTTTTGTTTTTGTGATTAACCGCCATTTTGTGTTTACTTCGCATACTGCATAGGAAGTTTCAAACAAAAAATAGAATTTTCAACTGTTGAGAAAACTTTTCTTTTGGCTACATGTTATTATTGTCTTGTTGTTTTTGTTATTTTGTTTTTGTTTCTGTTTCTGTTTTTGCTTTCACATTTGATTTTGTTCTCCTATTTGCATTTGTTGTAAGCAATTTGTTTTTGTTTGACATTAACAACTGCAAATAATTAAATTATTTATTTATTTTATTTTATTTTATTTTTTTTTTTTGCTAATCACTCCCCTTATAAGTGGGTGTTGTGTGTATTATGTGTTCCATGTACATTAATTTTAAATTAATGCTTTTTATTGTTGCAGTGTGTTTGTGTGGTTTGTGTTTTGTGTATATGTGACGTATAAGTTTACGTGTGTATTTGTTTATATATGTGTATGTGAGTATGTTTTGTTTTATTTGCGTAAAATGCCAACAAAAATAGATTGCGTTCTTAACCCAACGCAGCGGTGTTCATCAGAAATGATATTTAAGAACTTTAAGTTCTAAAATAAAAATATATTACTTTTTTTTTTATTTAATTTTTTTTAGCGAAATTGTTTTAACATAATTGTTTTGTTGTTGGTTGAATTTTCACTTTTTTAAGCAAAAGAAAAGTTTTTAAAATTCTATTTTTGTTTTATTCTTCCTCATCGACTCCCACACATGTTGGACAAACAGGTTTGCCTTCCATGGCGTAGAACGATTTTCCTCGCACAGGTTTCTTGCAATCCTAGAATTTTTAGAATATATCATATATATAATATATAAATTAATTATTGATCATGTATATATAGAAATGCATATATTTGCATTAGCAGTTGGCAGTTGGACTTCTTTGTTTGTATATATGAAAGTATTTATTTAATGATAGCAAAGCTTTTAGTGTGGGACTTACCCTGCAGACAAAACAGTCTGGATGCCATTGTGAGTTCAAAGCAGAGATATAATTCTCCATGATTGCACGGTTGCAGCCATTGCACTTTGGTGCGAACATTTCAAAGTAGTCATTGCGACAATATGGCTTGCCATCACGTTCATGGAAGCCATCTTCACCGAATTGTTGACCACATTGAGCACAGAAGAAATGTTCCGTATGCCAAGTTTTATCCAAAGCCGTTACGCATTTCTGTTAAATAAAAAAAAACCCATTAATAAAATATATAAAAAAAAATGTTGTTTTTAAATCTTACATCCAAAATAGCGCCATTACAGTAAGCACAGCGCGGGCTGAATAAGTTATGATAATCTGGTTCACAATATGGGAAACCATCACGTTCATAGAAATTGCGTGTACCCAATTCTTGATTGCAGTGATTGCAAGTGAAATGCTCTGGATGCCAGGTCTTGCCCAAAGCTGTTATGACTTGTCCAACAATGGGTTTTTCACAGGCATTGCAGCAGCCCTTTTGTACAGTATTGACACCTTGACGACTCATATTGGCTTGTAAATTTCCTAGCATAGAATCCAACTGATCCGGTTCGTTATCTTCTACTATGGTAGAAGTTGTAGTTTCAGTTATAGTCTGTGTAAGATGAGACACTCCTTTATTGGGTTTCGCGTAATCAGTAACTGTTTGCTGATGATGATGATTGGAACCGTTATTGACCTATAATTACAAAACATGCATCGAATTAAAACAAAAAAAAAAACCGAATTGTAAAGAAATTATTAACCGGTAAAAACAGTTAAACAGTCAGTTAATAAATAAAACCGAAATTATCTAGATATTATTATGTGCAGATATTTTTAATACGAATGCGAAATATTTTTCAACAAAAATCCTCGTTTTTCTCTATTGCAATCCAAAACAATATTTAAAACGGTGGTAGGTACAGTTTATTAATTAAATTTCTTTATAATATTATATCGCTAACGTTTTACAATAACAAAGTACTTTTCCTTACGTTGTGCGACTACGATCCAAAGCGATTGATGAAATTTTTCAAACTGAAAATACTTTTATGCACGTCGATCTTAAAAAAATTTTTACTATTAGTTCTGTTGCTGCTCCTGCTGCGTCTTTGCCACACCGCCGCCTCCTTCGATTTGTTGCGTTTCAAAAAACATATTTTCTTTTTTGTTGTTTTATTAAATATTATTTGAAGAGATAATGATGACCGCGCTGCGGTGTACAAGTTTACACAGCTGGTATAGTTGGTGTGCGCTCGAATCTTTGCCGCACCGCTAAAACGTACGCCAACTTTTGAAGAAGAAAAAGCCTTAGTATGTGTGCATTTGCAAATGCGACTATATTTCTGTCCACATGGCTGCCACAAAACCAGCCATTTCCCTCCATAGAAAACTGTTTTCCTACAACAAAAACCATTTTCGCATTGTTGGATTTTCCATACAAAACTTGTGTATTGGTGAAAAAATCTTCTTATATTGAAAGACTGCCAAATTTTAATATGAAAAACGCCAATACCATTGCATTAAAAACTTGCACATAGACACTTTGAAACCGTCTTGTACGCCGCCGCCGAACGATATGAGAAAAAGACTCACGTGAAAAACTACTACTTATCGAATCCAACAGAAAGCGATTGGGCCCCTCAAATTAGCTTAAATCAACAAGATTTGCAACATTTAGATACAATAAGCAAACATGTATTTAACAACAACAACATTAGTAATAAAATAATAAGAACACCACCAACAACAACAACTTTCTAACCAAATAAATCACAACAACTCACACAAACTTTTAAAGAGCAACTAGTACAGCCAAAAGTTTAGAATTAATGGATATTTTCATATGTATAATGAAAAGAAGACAGTGGCGCATTCAGAGACACAGCGTTTTGCTATCTGACCCAAACGTTGAACTTAATAAATAAAATATAATCATTAATGACCACATCTGATAAATAATAGGGAATAATAAGAAATAATAGCCAATCTCTTTAAGCCAACCTTTTCATATTGGAAACAACACATGATCACTATATCATCATTTCTAATAAATTTAATAATAAGAATAGCCAATCAATTCTTAACCATATCCTAGAAAGTAGTGCATTTCAAGACTCAAGACTCTGAGCCAAATGTTCGACTTTGGAAACAAAATATAATCAATGAGGACCATATCTCATAAATAATAAGGATAGCCAATCTCTCTGAGTCAATCGTTCAACATTGGAAACAAAATATAATCACAATAACCATTCAATTCTTAATGTTAATGTTATCACAAAAGGTTTCGAAGGTTTCGAAAATATTCCTTGAGTGGCACCGGCAAAGATCTCGCAGAATCGATTGATCTTAAACTACTGATATGCTATTTTCAACAAATATTTTATATATAAATACTTAACAGATCCATATGAAATTTTTTGATTTTGCCTTATATTATTAATAAAAACTGTCAAAAACTGTTTTGAACAATGATTTACCCAATACAACTTCTTGTAAATCTGTAGAAATTTAGATGAGAAGTAAAAAATTCGGACGGATATGCCAAACACTTCAGAAAGTAAATTTAATAGTTGCGAAAACATCCTTTAAGTGATATCGGCAAGGCTCAAGCTGATCCAGTCGACCTTGAACTACTTACACGTCATTTTGGAAAGAAATTTGAAATAAAAACCATTGACAGATCCATATGGAAAATCTGTTTTTCTTACCGTATCCTATTAACAAGAGCAGTTAATCAGCAAAATAATAACATTATCAATTTCTAATTTTATGTCTTGGAGAACTCTATAACTCTTTTTCTTTGCAAAAGGGTAAGTTATTCAGTAATTTCAATCAATCCAATAATATTGCCAAAGGATAGTACCCATTGTTTGACTAGTAGTGAATTTATTTTTTTTTAACAGTTATGAATCTGCTCAAAAAGCAGTCTTAACCTTAGCTAGATTTTAATTTTTTGCAAATATTTTTAAAAGGTAAAATTTTAAAAGGATATAATTTAACAACACAGTTCATGCAATCAAAAAACATGTTTGGCGTGAAATAACTGCTCCATTTTCGGTTAATAAATTTTTTATTTTCATTATTTTAATATAAGCGACACAGAAAAAAATAAGATCTAAAAATCATAAATTATTAAATGTGATGAGAAAACCAACACTCAGTCAAATATTTTCGTCAACAAATCGCATAATATATACATTTTATATATTCTCGGTAAAAAAAGTGATATAAGACATCACAGGAAAGCTATTTATTAATTTTTTTTAAAAAATTTGTTAAAAAAAATAAAAATATACTAAATTGTTAATAATTAAATATTGTAAATGAAAAAAGATTTCAAAAAGAAGAGAAAAAAAAAACAATTAAAAAATAACAAATAAAAAATAACAATCAAAAAATAAAATTAAGTGGCAGAACGGGTGTTGTCAAGATATCTCATTAATCCAAAGGTTTGAAAGCGAATTCCATACTCTGACCGAATGGATAAAAAAATCTTGTTGTGGAAGCAACGTTGAATAAAGGAATAATAAATAAAAGAGATTTATTGGATCGTGACTTATTGGGAATTTAACATTAAGTGCTGCTTTGCATAACTGATTGCCCAATAGAAACCTGTGGCACAAACCATTGACATTACCTTTTAATCTAATAATTAGTAAGGTAGTTGTTTTGTTGCCATTAAGTAGCATGTTATTGTGAACGGTCCAAGCATTAATATTCTTTAAATCAATGTTTATCTTCTAAGTTAGATTTTCAATAACGGTGAAATCGCAAGAAATATACATTTAGATGTCATCAGCATACCCATGCAATTTAGCATATTAACAAATTGAAAAGATATCATTTACATAAACTGAAAACAAAAGGAGACCCAGTATTAACCCTTGAGAAACTCCAGTATGAAGAGTTTTATAAGTCGAAAACTCATTCAATACCACAACAGACTGCAACCATCCAGTTAAATAACTGAAGATAAATTTTACCGCCGACTATTACTTCAATTAAAATAAATAATCATTAAATAATTGGAGAATCCATTAAATAATAGTTTAAACTTACTTATAGAACAAATACCATAAGAAATCTTAAACTAATTATTTTATAGAGAATTTATTTTATACAGAAGTCAGATTATTCACTAGCTTAAAAAGACTTGACCGAGAATATAACAACTATAGCAAATATAACATATCTAGTAAATCGTAGAAAAATTTGCAGCAAATATTAATTGCTTATGTTTATTCAATTTAGTTTTTAAAATTTCATCCACGTATTGTTAGTTTCTAAACGGAAGTTTCATTAAATAATTTATATATTGAAAAAAATAGAGATTATAGTATTATTCGAAATCAAATAAGATGCGAAAATTTTCACAAAAAAGAAGATAAGATGTTACTTTGAACCAAGAACGTAAATCAGTACAGGATACATCTTCCTGACATATAAGAGCAACTAAGCTCTCAAGTACAGATAAGTCACATTTGTTTCTCATCAGACTTAAAACTAACCGACTTATGGATCAATAAAATATATACTATTAAAATTTTCGAGCTAGTTAATTATAAGAAGGCATTCTTCAATGTACATAAACCAGTACGGAAAACATCTTCCTGACATATAAAACCAACTAAGCTCCGAAGTACTGATAAGTCACATTTGTTTCTCATCAGACTTAAAACTAACCGACTTATGGTTCAATAAAATATATACTATTAAAATTTTCGAGCTAGTTAATTATAAGAAAATATTCTTCAATGTACATAAACCAGTACGGAAAACATCTTCCTAACATATAAGACCAACTAAGCTCCGAAGTACAGATAAGTCGCATTTGTTTATCATCAGACTTAAAACTAACCGACTTATTCATCAATAAAATATATACTATTAAAATTTTCGAATCAGTTAATTATAAGAAAATATTCTTCAATTTACATAAACCAGTACGGAAAACATCTTCCTGACATATAAGACCAACTAAGCTCCCAAGTACAGATAAGTCACATTTGTTTCTCATTCGACTTAAAACTAACCGACTTATGGATCAATAAAATATATACTATTAAAATTTTCGAACCCGTTAATTATAAGAAAATATTCTTCAATGTACATAAACCAGTACGGAAAACTATAAACCAGACATATAAGAGCAACGAAGCTCCCAAGTACAGATAAGTCACATTTGTTTCTCATCAGACATCAATAAAATATATACTATTAAGAATTTCGAACCGGCACATTATGAGAACAAATTCTTGAATGCACTCCTGTATCTGATATCTCAAATGCCTAATATAATTAAATACATTTGCAATAATAATTTCAATTCTATTGAATCTGTGTTAGTCTTGTGCGCTTTTGTCTAACATATAGACAATTAAGGATTTCCCCAAAAAGTTTTTGTTATTTTTTTTAAACGTATACTGATGTACAAATATATATGTATCAATATATATGTATCTGAAATTTTTTTATTTATTTCAGAAATAAACCGGTGGCACACGTTACACGCAAAATTGGAAGTTTGTCGTGATTGGCTTTTCATTTCTAATTTTGTTGTTGCTGTGGTACTTTTTACGATTTATATTGTTGTTGCATTGGAAGATGTTATTGTATTTCTTAAAATCAATACATGTTGTTGTTGTATTTTGCAGAATATTACAATAAACAAATACTATTAAAAAATATTAT